CATGCTACTTCCCCTAAACCCTTTCCCTCGCCGCCCGCGCGCGTCGTCGTCGCACCGCTGCAGATGAGAAACTTCAATGTTAAAACACCTTCAAGTCTTTGGACCTTTCACCATGCCGTTCCATCGCCTTCCTTCTCAACGTGGTAACAGAGTCACTGAAAACCAATGTCAGAGTGTGACACTAACTGAGTCCCGCGCAACCCATTCTGGCCATAAACCACAAGCGGGCACTTGTTGCTTTGCACATCACCCCCTGTCCAGGAGTTGTTTTCCATTGGTGAGGAGCATCAGGAACAGCCCGCAGATAGCGATGAAGAGGAGGAGGACGAGGCGGACCAGCTGTGGAGGGTCGAAGGGTGAATCTGTTGTGGCACGGCTCTGGTTTCGAACGAGTTGCGTCCCGCATGGGACTATCCCGCTAGTGACGTGCAGGATGGTGCATTCAGATGGATTCAGTTTTTTGAACAGTTTGGAGAAACAGATTTGAATCGACACATTGAACCAAATTGATCGTTCTTTTAAAGTTTCCAGGTATAGGTGTTTTCTGCCTCCTTTTTGTCGCTTGTACAGGGAGTGTCCATCGCCTTCGACACGATATATCAGCCAGATGGACAGGCATTTGGAAGGCTACTAAAAATGATGTATATATATATATAATAGTTTCCATCAGTTTCATGTTTGGTGTCGGTGTCAGATGTTTAAGGCGTTCACTCCGGAGTTCAAGATAACTGATCTCTTGCGCACACATACCATGAGTTCCGGGCCGCAAGAACAAGCGCTGAACATTTATAATGGAGTTAGTCATGTTCCCATTTGTATTTACTGTTTTCGGGTATTTCGTGTCTGGAAATCAGAGCGTTCAACTTCGGGCAGACCATACTGCTTTAGCTTGGGCCCTGCAACCGAACGAATGTTTTGGTGGCGGAGGCCCAAAGCCCCAAAGCCCGGCCGGACAGCTGCCGGACGATTGGTTTTGCTTAGGGTAGATGGTGAGGTTCCCGATGCACCCTGGGTGGTCTTTTTTCGTCAAGAAGGGTACCTCGGAACATGGGATGAAAGTGGGTCGTTTTGTACCATTTTGTAGCCCTTTTTGGTTCGGGTCATGTTCCCATGTTCGCCCTCGAGGTCTCCTCCCCAGGTCGAGTCGACTCCCCACCGGCCACCAAGGGGCAGCGTCACCGGCAGCGATCGGACGCTGGGCATCTTCGGTCCGATGTCGAGAGACCACAGCTGTGTGCAGCCCGAGCGTTTGGGCTCTGTCAACCTGGCCGGATTGTTGAGGAGAGCGTTTGGGCTCTCGTAATTCAGGGTTTAGGGTTTGTCCCGTACGATAACGATTGAGCTGAAAGATTCCTCGGCAAATATTCCCAGACACGACCCATGGGACTGCCATATTGACATACATTGACCCCCAGTCAACCACCCCAACTGATCGGCAGTCCTATGGCAGTCCCAGATGGCGGTCGTGTTTGGGATTGGTCTATTCTTTGAAGCGAACCGACTGGGGTGTCGTTGCCACGCCACGTTCGGTCTGGTCTCCCATCACCTGCTGGGAGTTGCGGTCGGTCATGTGCACGGCACATGACCGATTCTCATTGCGCCCTCCAGGGCGCAAGACACTTAAGTAGATGTACTTGTCTCAGAAACGAGGGCATGGCCGTTGTTGTTTGGCATCAGTAGTATTCGATTCGCTTGTGAAGGAGATATGGGAACAACCACACAAGTAATAAACCACTTGACACCCTCAAAGGAACTAGAGTAATTATATAGTAGTATGCAGTATGTAGCAGTAACTCAGTAGAAACACCAGTGTTCCTCAGAGCCCCTTTTGGGACAGAAACTGACGGATTTGGGACACTGCGTGGGGTTTGCCATCGCTGTCCAGCTTTACCGAGTCCACGGCAAACTCATATGATATATGAGTTGGGAGTGTCCAAGTAAACCTGTAACAGTAACAGTCCGGGTTCACAAGAACATCACTATTTCAGAGATGTCGGCCTCCAACCTAACCATCATCATCATCATCATCATCATCATCATCATCATCATCATCATCATCATCATCATCATCATCATCATCATCATCATCATGTGTTTGCAGGGAATAGGATATACCCAATATATGAGCTTGATGAATTACTGTAGCGCCAGCCAGCTCTGTAAAGAGCTTTTTTCCCGAGGTTGCCAGTTTCAGGTCTGGAGGTCGTCATGGACTCACTTCTGTGACGGACTCAAAGGGACTCAGGTTGCCCTTTCAGGAAAAACAAGAACTTTCTGTCGTGGACAGTGTTTTTTACATATTTTATCATGGGTTTTCTTCCCCATGTGTATAATATATTGATGAGCAACATTCATCCGAGGAGTCGATGGAAGCGCTGGAAGTGTCGATCGATGCGTTGCTGCGGCATGCGGTGTACCTGGGAAATGTGGCGCTGACTGAGCCGAAAGAATCTTGGATGTTTGAGGATTATTTGAGGTTGCACTACTAGGAGCAAGGGCATCGCTACTAGGAGCAAGGACGCTACTAGGGGCTCCTGGCTGAGGGGTTCAGGCTGTGGTTTCCAATAAAATCTATACTCCATGACACTGCAGGGTGGCCTTTTGCCATGCAAGGAGTGAAACCCGAAGAGGTGTGCCACTCAAGCCTTGCGTTCTCGGCTTTGTATCATTGTTAAAGGTTCCATCACAGAGCTCACGAATCATAGATGATCTGCTCAGCGCAGGTTCCACCAGTTTCATCCACACACGAGCTGGTGTCTCTTTCTCAACAGTTCCATGGGATTTCCCGGCGATCGACAGTGCCATGAGGGCGGGAATCTCTACCAGCCAGAGAGTGACATCGACTGGCGGTCCCAACCAGCCAGTCGATCTGGGGGGAGACCATCCAAGATCTGTGGAAGGACCAAAAAGCAACGACATCTCCCTTGTCAGCTTCTTGTTAAACCAGCTTGGAACATCAGTAAGTGCATAGGTTCTTCTGGTGGTTGATTATTCTCTTAGAAACAACCAACATCATCGTTGTTTTCCAAATTGTTTAAAAAACATCAATATGTTAAGGAGGTCGCCAGCGGAGCTGGCTTTGACTCACTTGGCTCCTGTGGGCTCGTGGTGATGCTTTGGAATCCTGAGTCACGACGTACTACCAACTCAACCTATCCAGATGAATGCACCCCGATTAACATCACATGTTCAAGTGATTCAAGTGTCGCCAGAGTTTCTGGTTCTTTGAGTGGATGTTCCCCCCTGCTTGTTCGGGTTTTAGATCGTTTACTCATGTTTACTCCATCAGTTTCATTTGGGCGCATTGAACGAAAGACTCATGAAACAACAGGGATGCTTAATTACCCTGTAAAGTAAGGTTGAGGAATATCTCATCATGCTGCAACTATATCCAAACAGGTTCCATTATTTTTTCATAAGTCAAACAGCCCCCAACTCAGAGCAATGACAACCAACAACCAACAACCAACAACCACAACAACAACAACAACAACAACAACACCAGCAACAGCAACAGCAACAGCCACAGCCACAGCCACAGCCACAGCCACAGCCACCACGACCACGACCACGACCACGACCACGACCACGACCACGACCACAACCACAACCACAACCACAACCAGCAGGCATTTGCAGCACTCCCTGCCGGACATTTGCACCAAAACCAGGTCAACCCTTGCAATGATTTCGTTGGTGGCTCCTCTGGGGATTCCCAACATCGTGCACTGGTGACTCCCACTTTGATGTACACCAACTATGATGGACAGCACCGCCACTGCCACGACACACGCTAAGCACCACCCCCACCACCTACACCACATTGATCAAAAGGTAGATGGACTACCTACCAGCACCTTCCGTTGGTAGGCTCCCATAGACTACCAGTCTAACTACCATACACCTACTTTTGTGGATTTGCAATCTGTGCACTTGATCCAAATCCAAATCCATGGGTGTTTCCCTGGCAGGATCGATCGTCCGAAATCCATGGGAAACCACTCGTCCTGACGGTCCTGACGCCGCCTCCTTCGCCTTCGTCCTTCGCTTCGCTGCAAGGACTCACAGGACAAGGTCGATCGGGTCTTCGCGTTGGCCCCTTGGATCGACTGAGTCTTCGCGCCGACGACGGAGGGGTCTCACAGGAGTCCGACCGGTTTTTCGGCCGAGGTGTTCCTGCTGAAGGAAGGCGAACCCAATGGAATTTGGACTCACCATATTGTGTGGGCCATTTTTTTTCCCACAGATTTAGGTTGTAAAGATGTGGGAAACCATGGGGTTCCTCACCTCCTGTAGATGGCACTGAGGCACCATCTAGCACCCATAGCTATAGCTTGGAACTTCTTCGATCTGGGAGCTTTCGGATTTGTAGCATGAAGTTCTCGGAAGGTCATGGCACAGCTATGCAGATTCCTGGAGCTGCGCAGATGTGCAGAATGGTTTGTTTGGCTGATTGAAAACCTGGGTTTACAACGACTCCCATTCATCAAAAAGTAAAACACATGTGCTAAGTTGCCCAGATATCCGAATACGATCATTAAACATCATGATATACATTTGGATTATTGTATGTGAGGAATACAGCATCCTACGGTACAGTATGCTCTATTGGTGTACGTACCGCTTTTGGATAATCTTGTTTTTGTTTGACACACTTCGTAAGTGCTTGAATGCACAATTCACGACAGCAAGCCGACTATGGACACACTGTTGAAAGTTGGTGGCAGTTCCTGGAAGCCAGGGTAACAGAGAAGTTCTGCACCACAACAGAGGGAGTCATGTGGGATGTATACTGGCATATAATGTGTACCTCGGCTTCCAGTTACTGGAGGTCTCTATCAGCACAAACATGCCACAGGTGATTTGTTCGAGAGGTAATTGAAAGAGTCCCAGCTTCCTCTTACGGTTATACGCAAACACATCGCCGAAGAACAGCATGCCGAAGACCCTGTGGCTTCAGTTAGATCCGATCTCAATCACCGGTACCAGCGGGTGGTACGATGGCCTTCACGTTGAAGTACCGGAACAGCTTCATCGATGCAGAGGATCGAATGCCTGAGGGAGATGATCGGATGCGACGTGCTAGCAGTTTGCCACCCAGAATCTCAAAGATGGTCGAGGTTGAGGAGATCTTGGAAGACGAGGAGGGGCGAACAAGAGATGTTCAGAAACAACAAAAAAAACACTGGAATGATCTATAATAGAGTCTATAGTCTATAGTGATAGACACCCACTACAGCGAAACAATCAAATTCATCACTACGGAGACCCCCTGGTCCGCTAGACTCATTGGTCCGAACCTAACCGGGCCGTTGCCTGGGAGGTCTCCCTATTCATATACACACTCTGCCTTCAACCTGCCAGTTTCTCCATGTCGGTGTTCGTGAGACTCGAGGTTTGACCTCCAGCGACCGACAGCGGTGAAAAAGGGGACCGAGACCTTCCGACCTTCCGTTCGCCACCGAACTGCTTCTTCCCCCTGGGTTTTCTCGGTCCCCTGTCGGTCGTGTCACGGTCACTGGCACTCAGTCGTTCGGTCACGAACATTCAGAAGCTGGGACCTGATGTTCCTGCAGGAGAGCTTGCAATGTTACGTGCAGAAGCTCTCCGAGGATCTCTCCAAGTCCTTAGATCGCAGCCCGCTGGCCCGCTGCAACCGAGGATCTTCCCCCCCCGGAGCGCCGCTCTCAGTCAGAAGAGATGGAGTTCGGCGTGATGGGTCAGCGCCTCCCAGGGAGTGTGGGTCACCCAGAACTCTGCAGGCGGCCTTGCATTTACTTCATGGCAGGAGAGGGTTTAAAGGGAAGAGCGTGTGGGGGAAGGAAGATACTTTTGTTTTCCCGGCAAGACGCCGTGAAAGGGATGGAATAGGATTGATGAAGTCCAAGCAAGCATTCCGACAGATCCTGAACGAGTCCAACAGACTTGACTTTCTCAACAGGTAGTTTGTATTCTGACTTAGATGTCAAACAAGGGCCTGTCCCGCTCAGGTTTCGGAAGGCAAGCCCTTCATCCGCTCTTCATCCTATGTCCATTTGGAGAAATGTTGACCCAGCATATCAACCTTTTGCATTGGGAAACGAAGCAGGTCCAGGTTCGGGTTCTTAGGTCCGGCCGCGATCCCGGACACTCATGACACGAGAATGTGTAGACATGCTCCAAAAGCCACGAGAGCTGCCAGAATCGGAATCGTGCATTGCGAAACTTCCTATCCTCAGGACCCTCAGGTGAGGGTCTCTACAGGCACAAGCGATCCTCGCCTAGTTTTATGAAGTTCAAGCAATCCTCGCCTCCGCCTCCACTGTGTTTGCTTCGTCCAGTGATGACCGGACTGACTGCACGCTTGGCCAGACCCTTCGCGGGAGCTGGATGCTTTAGGTGCTTTGCGCTGGAATTAGGTGCTGCGTGTTTAGTGCTTGGCGCTTTAACCCGATCGTACGCTTGCTGTCAGAACACATTAGACCTGATGCCAGAACAAATGTCAGAACCTACAAAAATTTCGTATCAATACGTATTGCCGGGTTACATCTCCGAGCAAATGTCAGAAGGCATGCCAGAACAAATTTCAGAACCCATGAGGAACTGACGGGACCATACGGGACCTATGTCAGAACACATGCCAGACTTCATGCCAGAACAGATGTCAGTCTGTATGTCAGAAGAGGCACAGATGTCAGAGCACATGTCAGGGCAAATGCTTTATCACATATGAGAACAGATGCCAGGTTACATGTGAGATCACATACCAGAGCAAATGCCGAAACACGCCAGAATTCATGTCAGAAGGTATGCCATACTTGCTGCCAGAACAAATTTCAGAACAACTGTGAGCATACATGCCAGGGCCAGAACGATGTCAGAAATTGTCAGAATACATATCAGACCAACTGTCCGAACAAATACGTGGTAGTTGCTGGCTGAACATGTGTCAGAATACATGACAGAACACATCTCAGACGCAAAAGTTGGAGCATATGTGAAAACATGTCAAAATACATGTCAGAACACATGCAAGTTTGATCCGATGCAAATGTCAGAACGTATGTCAAATGTACATGCCCGAACATATGTCAGGCCACATGTCAGACTCGAGGGCAGGACGCATTCCGGAAAGGATGTCAGAACACATTCCAGAACAATTCCAGCCTTTATGCTTGATGTGAACAAGCTTGTCTGTTCGCATACACGTCAGGCAGGCAATGTTTGTCAGAATCAGTCAAGTGTTGTGCCCTGCCTTCGCCTGCCTTTCAAATTGCCTCTCAGGGTGGGGATCACTGGAAGCGGCGGTTTCACAGTGTTCCCTCCGACTCCCGCGGCAGGAAACTGCGAGAACGGTGACAGTTGCACTTATTGCCACCAGCCACATTATGAGAAGACAGTGAAGCTCGATAAGAAACAGCGAAGCTTCATGCAGTCTTTATCCCACATCGATTTCTTCAGCCTGATCTTTCATTTTTGCCGTGAAAAAGTCGAGTTCCTCAACATCACCGAAGAGGCCGACGAAGTCTTGAAGATTTTGCAAGAGGAGGCAGGCAAAACACAATGGACCGAAACAATCAGCGTTGAATACTGTACCTTCTAATAGCCTAGGGATAGTTAATGAATGTTGACCATAGCTGAGATAAGATTGTCAATCCAAAGTTCTTCGTCAATCCGCCATTTGGGTTCCAGATTCCGCCCCATGTTTTACCCAGCAATCACAAACCAAAGACCCGCCACAGCCAGGTATTAGTGATGCCCAGTGGCCTCGACACTCATGGTTGGTGGTCGGACCGCAATGGGCGCAGCCTTCGAAAGACCCTGGTGTCTCGGTCGCGACCGGCGGACTGGACGGGTCGGCGGGTGGGATCTTGTATTTGTTGGATGAAATGGATTTTGAAGACTTCTCTTCGAATCTGTTGGGTAACATACGAAGAAATGATACTCATTTGGGGACCCAGGTGCGCGGATCGCACACGTTTTTTGTTGAAATTCCATTATTGAAGAGATTTGATTTAGGTTGTTCATGTCGGAGTGGCGTTTCTGCATACAGAATGCCCTGTCCCTTGCCATTGAACTCCAATCGGATGGTTTAGGGTATGCATATCAGATTGGCCCAGTCCAGCGAAAAGGCATTTCCAACGTGCCTGACACTTGAGTCTTGCAGTCTTCCACAGAGTTGGATGATCATGACGGCCAGGTAGGACAAGTGATTTCTGGTGTGATTGTTGCGTATGACTATTCTCCTTGGCAACCCAGCATAGCCACCCTGGCGCTTGGTGTTGTCGGTGATGGCAATGTTCATCCTTAAGAACTTGTTTCAGCTGGCCTCTTTTGCTTGAATGCCAGACTCATAGATCTATGCCTATGCATCATCACACAACGTATAGTGTATATATAGTCAAGGACAACTAGTAGGCAGGAACGGAACCTAGCCAAAAA